CTCTCGGTGCCGCTCAAGGTCCCAGGCAAGTGAGGGACCTGGGGCTCGCCCCCTCATCCCCGTGGTCCCCACCCCCGCCATCCCCGACCCCCCAGGGCTCAGTGGCTCTGAGCCGGCTCTGAGCGGCGCGCCCGCAGGCATGCCCATGTCGGAGCAGTACGTGAAGCTGGAGGAGGAGCGGCGCCACCGGCAGCGGCTGGAGAAGGACAAGCGGCGGCGGCGGCGGAAGGAGCGCGAGCCACGGGGCAAGGCCCGGCGACACGGCTCGCTGCCCACCGAGAGCGACGAGGACATCGCCCCGGCCCAGCGGGTGGACATCGTCACCGAGGAGATGCCCGAGGTGCCCTGGGAGGCCGGCGGGGGGAACCGGGGCGCCTGCGGGTAGGGGGCTCTGGGCTGTCAGGCAGCGCCTGTTTCTCTGCCCACCCCAGAACGCACTGCCCAGCGACGAGGAGGACAAGGACCCCAACGACCCCTACAGGGCCCTGGACATCGACCTGGATAAGTGAGTGGGGGCTGGGCTGGGGTCCCCCGTAGGCTTCCCCGCCGCGAACGCATTCCTGCTCGGGCCTCCTGGGGAGGGGGGGAGGCGCGTTCCCCGCCCCAGCGCTGGCAGGAGCTTCACCCCTGCACCCCCACAGGCCCTTAGCCGACAGCGAGAAGCTGCCCGTGCAGAAGCACCGGCACCCCGAGCCCTCCAGGTCCCCCGAGAAAGAGGAGGCCCCAGCGGCGGAGAAGAAGAGCCGGAAGCCCAAGAAGAAGGAGAAGAAGGAGAAGAAGCACAAAGAGAAGGAGAAGAAGAAAGAGAAGAAGAAGGAGGAGAAGGAGGAGGAGAAGGTAGATGTGGGGTCATGGGCGCGGGCCCCTGGCTGCTGGCCTGCCCCGCTGAAGGGCTGCTCCGCTTCCAGCAGGACGACCTGGACTTCTGGCTGTCCACCACGCCGCCCGCCCCGGCCCCAGCCCCAGCGTCCGCCCCGGTACGGCCCCGCACCCAGCACACTGCCCCTGGCCCGGCCCAGCCTTGGCTTGAGTTTGAGTGTGGGGTGGGGCTGTGATTTCCTGGAGGAATCTGGGGGGCAGGAGGCCGGGCCTCTTTCAAGCCCTGACGCCCCGGTCCTGCAGGAAGAGCCCGGGGTGGACACCGCGGCCCCGGTCCCCCAGGATGACCAGGAGGCCCCCCGGGGGGAGGAGCTGGAGGAGGCGGAGCAGCCGGATGCCGAGAAGGTAGAGCTGAGCCCTGTGCCGTGCCGGGGGCCCCCTCAGGCCTCTTGGGGACACAACTGGTGTGCTGAGTCCCCCGGTTGCTGCCAGCCCTTGAAGGAGAAGCCCCGTGGCTGGAGCGGTGGGACAGCGGGGAGGGCACTTGCCTGGGAGCCGGGCTTGGCTCCCGGCGCCCCGTACGGTCCCCTCAGCACATACGGGAGCGAGCCCCTCGCACCCCAGCCTTGGGGCCCTTGCTCCCCACCCGCCTCCCCCTCTTCGTGGCCCCCACACACCCACTTCCTGCTCTGCGGAAGGGCCCCTGCCGGTTGCTGGGGGGGTGGTCCACGTGCTGTGGGGGCCGTCTCCCCTTCACGAGACACGTGGGCCCGCCCTTGCCTGGACCGGGGTCTGAGCCCCGCGCTCTGCTGCCCCTCAGAAGTCCCGGCACAAGAAGCACAAGAAGGAGAAGGAGGAGCGGCCCAAGGACAAGAAGAAGTCCAAGAAGAGGCGGGCGGCGGGCGAGGGCGCGCCGGGGCCCCTGGAGAACGGGGCGCTGGACGACGACGAGGAGGAGCCTCTCCCGGTGAGGGGGCACCCCCGGCCCACCCCGCGCTCGCTCGGCGGCTGGGCCTGGGAGGCGGGGGCCCCGGCTGGCCGCCACTGAGCCCCGTGTCCCCTGCAGCCCATGTCCAGCTACTCGCTCCTGGCGGAGAACGCGTACGTGAAGATGGTGAGCGAGCCGCGGCCAGCCCGGGCGGGGGGCGCGGGGGGCCCGCGGGGTGGCTCACGGTCCCCGCCCGGCCCGCAGACCTACGATGTGCGGGCCAGCCTGCAGAAGGCCAGCCAGGTGACCGTGTCGCTGGTCCTGGAGAACCGGAGCACCAGCTCCCTCAAGAGCATGGAGTTCAGCGTGCTGGACTCCCTCAACGCCAAGCTGGCCCGGCCCGAGGGCGCCTCCGTGCACGACGGCGTCCCCGTGCCTTTCCAGCTGCCCCCGGGTACGCGGGCGGCGGGGCTGGGGGCGGGCTGGGGGGTCCTGGGGGGCGGCCACTCAGCCCCGCCGCCCGCCCCGCAGGCATCTCCAACGAGGCGCAGTTCGTGTTCACGGTCCAGAGCATCATCGTGGCGCAGAAGCTCAAGGGCACCCTGTCCTTCATCGCCAAGGTACCCCGCCTCCCCACGGCGCCCCGCACCCCGCGGGGGCCCCTCCGCGCCCCTCACCGCCGCTCCCTCTCCGCAGAACGACGAGGGCTCCACGCATGAGAAGCTCGACTTCCGGCTGCACTTCAGCTGCTCCTCGTACCTGGTCACCACGCCCTGCTACAGGTGCCGCCCGCCGCCTCCCCGGGCCAGCCCCAGCAGTCCCGGGGGGTGGTGCGGGCCTGATCGGGTTTGGTTTGGGAGCGACACGTGCCGGCGCCTGGTTGGGGGCTCCGAACCGGGAGGGGGCGCAGGACCGAGCCCCCTGCGCCGTCTGAGGCCCGCCTCCCCCTCCGCCCTCCCTCCTGCCCCAGCGACGCCTTCGCCAAGCTGCTGGAGTCGGGGGAGCTGAGTATGAGCTCCATCAGGGTGGACGGCATCAGCATGTCCTTCCCCACCCTGCTGGCCAAGATCTGCTTCTACCATCACTTCTCAGGTAAGGGGCGGGCCTCGGGCTGAGCGCGGCTGCCCGCCTGCCCGCCCGCACACGCCGGCCTCACGCGTGCCCCCCTGTGCAGTGGTGGAGCGGGTGGACTCCTGCGCGTCCATGTACAGCCGCTCCGTCCAGGGCCACCACGTCTGCCTGCTGGTGAAGAAGGTGAGCCCCGCCCTGCGCACGGCACCGCCCCTCCTGGTCCCCCCCATGGCACTCGAGGCCCACCCGAGCCTTCCCCACACGCAGGGCGAGAAGTCGGTGTCCGTGGACGGGAAGTGCAGTGACGCCACGCTGCTGGGCAACGTCCTGGAGGAGATGCGCGCCACGCTGGCCCCGTGCTGAGCGCCCGCCCGCCCGGCCCCTCCGTCACCGTGTCACTCCGGTCCTTCCCACCCCCCTGGCCAACAGCCCTGCCCCGTCCCCAAGGCCGCGGGGGGCGGGGGCTGCGGGAGCAGGGGGACCCGCGGGTTGGCCCTGTGGGCAGTGGGCTTCTGTGAAGTCGGCCCAGTTCCGCGGGCCCCCAGGGGCCGCCCCGGGGTCCCCACTGGCCCCACTGCTCTCCATGTGTCCCCCACTCAGAAGTGTGTCTGGTTTGGTGTTGTTTGGGACCCAGGTCCCCTCGTGTCAGGGAACGCTCCCCAGGGCGGCCGGACGGTGGGGGGACCCTGGCCGGACACCTCCCACCCAGACCGCCCCGCCCCGAGGTGACGGTCCTCGGTGCCGTTCCAGCTTCCTCCGCCGCCGTAGCATGTAGTGTCTCTCCAGCCCCCGCGGTTCGGCCCCCCAGGGCCAACGTGCGCCCCGAGAACTGACCTGCTACCGACATTCCCGTCCAAAGGAGCCACGTCCCGGGCTGTACGATTGTGTGTCCAGACGATCCAATAAACTCGCAAAGTACGCAACGTGTCTCAGCCCTGCCTGCCCGCGCCATGGCAACACGCTCCTGGTTGTGGGGGGCCAAGGGGCCCTGTGTGGTTTGAATCCACAGACGTCACCCCTGAAGGGCGGGTGGGTGGGATCTGCAGTGTGTGTGTGGGGGGGGGGTAGCCCTCTGCCCTTCAGACCCGTCTCCCCCAGCCCGTTCCCCGATCCCCGCGGATTTCCGCCAGCCCCGGGCAGCAGCGTCAGACCTGGGCAAGAGGCCAGGGCAGATCCTGCAGCAGCCCAGCCACTGGGCGTCTCTCAGCCGCAATGGGCTGTTTGGGGGGGAGCCTGGTCTCCCCCCACCACCATCTGCTGGGCACATCCCTCCCCACAGCCGGTTGTTGTGTTATCTGGTGGCAGTGAGTGAACCGGGCCCTCTGGCTCATGTTCTGAGCGACTCCCCCAGCCCGAGTCTCGTGGGCACCCGTGTAACCCACACGTGGAAATTCGTAGTTCAGCAAGTGCAGCTGGCGGTCCTGGCCCTCCTGAGGTCAAACCCAGAGCCACCCGAACCCCAGCTTTGGTCTCCTCTGCGGGGTCCTGAAGCCACTGGCCACCTCCAGCCCCTGACCGCAGGCCGCTCAGCCAGGAGGACAACTTGGTGATGAGAAATAGCAGGACCTTTAATCATTCCACCAAATAGCCTGACCCCGCGGGACTATGTACAGACACCCCCCCCCCAGTACCCGACCTGCACACCCCCGGCTCTGCTGCTTGGGGGGCCCCAGCCTGGGCCTGTCACCCCAAGTCCTGGCCCTCAGTGCAGCATCAGGCACTCAGAAGCATTTTCCAGGGTCAGGTTGGCCAGTTGGGGGGGTTCCAGGCACGAGAAGCTCTGAGAGAGGGGGCTGTGGGGTACATGGGGGGGGGGCGGGCTTCAGTGCTGCCTGTTCCAGAGTGGGGCGCAGGCATAGGGGACGCCTGGCCCACCCCTCCCCCGGGCCCCTCCCCCCAATCCTGGGTACTCACAAGGCAGGAACGGATCTGCTGAGGAGGGTCAGAAGTGCATGTTTATTCATGAGAAAGATGGCACCAGTGGGCAAGCACCCCAAGACCCCCCAACCCTCCCCCCTCCCCTCCCCCTCCCTGCAGGGAGGTCAGGCTCGGCCACCTTACCTGGCGTTGCTTTCCTCTCTGAAAGACAGATGACCCCGTGAGCCCGGGCCGTGCCCGAGGACACCTGTCCATGTGCCTCACCACCCATGGCGGCGAGGGCAGGGCCGGGGCCTGAAATCCACTCCAGCCAAGCCTCTAGCAGGGCTGCCTGGGCTCCTGTCTCCCGCTGCAGACTCACCCGCAGGGGCCAAGCCCGCACACAGCCTCGGACACGGGTCGGGTGGGGGGACTTACTTTTGCCACTCATTTCTGCAACGACAGCAGCCAAGTGTCGGCAACCGAGCCAGTGCCTGGGGGGGCCCCCTGCCCCCAGCGCCCCCACCCCGGAACCCTCCCAGCAGCTCCACTCACATGTACTGGAGGAGACCCTGCACAGCTTTCTCCCACTGTGTCGAGGACCTGGGGTGGACAGCGGGGTGGGGATGGGGGGACGGCCTGGGTGCAGGGACCCTGTCCATCCCCCGCACGACAGCCGCCCTGCCCCGCACCCTCGCTCCCCCTCCCGGAAGCCGGCCCTACTCGCAATTGTAGCCGAAACAGACCACGTGGGAATCGGTGCAGTTCGTGCATGAGATGGTCTTGTAGAGGAAAATGCCTGCAACACAGCAGACGTGGGCTCCGGCTCCCCAAGCAGCCGCCCCTGCCTGAGCCACCCCCTGCCCGGGTCCCTACCCACTCACCACAGTGACGCTGACAGTCGATGCGACCTGTGTGTGAACCGGAGTGTGGAGATGGTCTTAGCGGGTCCCACCTGTTCCCCAGCCTGGGACCCCCTTTCCCGGACCTACCACGGGATGGCGGGGAGGTGACCGGGGCATGTCCCGAGATCTAACCTCAGCCTAGTGGTCATTCCAGACTCAGCTATGCCCTCCCCCCCTGCCCCCACCTCTCTCTTCTCTCTGTCTCTCCCCCCCTCCCCCGTTTCTCTGTCTCTCTTTTTTTGGTCACACTCGGAGATGCTCAGGGATTACTCCTGGCGGTGCTCAGGGGACCCTATGGGATGCTGGGATTCAAACCCGGGTTGGCCACACGCAAGGCAAACGCCCTACCCTCTGTGCTATCGCTCCACCCGCTGTGTCTCTCATTTTTTGGTCACACCTGGCGATGCTCAGGGGTTACTCCTGGCTCTGCACTCAGGAATTACTCCTGGCGGTGCTCGGGGAACCATATGGGATGCTGGGATTCGAACCTGGGTGGCCGCATGCAAGGCAAACGCCCTACCCGCTGTGCTATCGCTCCACCCGCTGTGTCTCTCATTTTTTGGTCACACCTGGCGATGCTCAGGGGTTATTTCTGGCTCTGCACTCAGGTGCTCCGGGGACCACAGGGATGCCCAGGATGGAACCCAGATCAGCCTAGTGCAAGGCAAATGCCCTCCCTGCGGGACTATTGCTCCCACCTCCTACACACACTCACTTTCAATGATGGCATTTTGAATGAGGTGAACTTGCTCCCGGAAGATAGTTCGCAGCTCATTGGGGAAGTATCCTGATGGCCAGTGGAAAGGAGGTAGGACCGAGGTCACGCTGGGGCAGGGCCAGTCCCTGGTTCCGACTTTCCCGCCAGACAGAAGGCCGCCCCTTACCCGGAAAATACATTTTCCCCTGGTAGAGCTGATCCATCCGCTGGTACACGGTGTTGGCCACTTGGTCCAGCTTCTCCCGGGCTGGGGGTGGGAGAAGGGGTCGCAGGTCTGCCTACGCAGGCGGGCAGTTGGAGTCTGGGGCACGCTAGAGAGTGGGGGTGGGGTCCCGGTGGAGTGGCGAGTGGGTGACGGGCGGGGCCAGAGGTCACGTACGGAGGTCAGGGGGTCGGGTTCAATTTCAGGTGGGGACCAGGTTCCGGGCGCGGTCGGGTCAGCTCAGAACCTAGGTGGGATCCAGATGGGGCCGCGCTCGAGACGAGGCCCAGGCTCGAGGAGGGGGTCCGAGTTGGGGTGTGGGTTCGAGGCCAGGGTTCGGGGGTGGGGGTGGGGGGTGGGCGTCCTGGTGGGGCCGGGGTCTGCTGGGTCAGGGCTCGATTGATTCCTCACTGATCTCCGCGGGGATGGCGAGGTGCAGCTCCTTCATGGTCGCCTGGCTCCAGTCGGTGAGCAGCGAGCCCGACACGGGGATGTCGCCCACCCACCAGGACTTGAGGTTCACGTGGTGGCGGTAGAAGGTGAACTTGTCCGAGAAGTTCCCGTGGCAATGCAGGCAGCCGCGGGCCAGCGAAGCCGTCAGGCCCAGGCACAGCAGAAGGGCCATGGCCCGCCCCCGCCCGCCGCCGGCAACCGACGGCGCCTCCCGTGCCACGCCCCCGCGCCGCGACCCGCCCCCGCAACGGACAGCGCGGCGGCGGCGCTCCCGCCCCGCCTTCCAACTGGCGCCGCCTTCCAGTTGGCACCGCCTTCTAATTGGCTCCGCCTTCCAGCTGGCACCGCCTTCCAATTGGCACCGCCTTCCAATTGGCTCCGCCTTCCAGTTGGCTCCGCCTCCCAATTGGCTCCGCCTTCCAGTTGGCTCCGCCTCCCAATTGGCTCCGCCTTCCAGTTGGCTCCACCCCCCACGACTCGCGCGGGGGCCGCCTCCCACGCATGCGCCCTCGGCTCCTCCTCCTCCTCCTGGGCACGTGTTAAAGGCGTCACGGCCTGGCTCCCGGGTTGCCAGGCAACGGAGGAGCGTGAGCGCGCGCGCGGGCGCGCGCACCGCTGTGACTTCCGGGGTGGCTTCAGTCCGCAGCGGAAGTAGGTCGGGAGGGCGTGGTGGTCGGGGCGGGACCCGCGGCCGTGTCCCTCCGCCGCCGGCTACGAGGCGGGACCCGCGTCGCCTCAGAACTGCGGCGGGCGTGGAGGCTGGTTGGTGGCAGGTGGCGGCAGGTGGGTATTTGGAGGGGGCAGCGCCGTGGGCCGGGGCTGGGGCAGCGCACTCCGGTGGCAAGTGGACGGGTCTTCAGAAGCGGAGACCTTGGGCGGCGGTTGTGCTACAGGTCCTGGCAGAGGAAGAACTAGGGCGGCGGTTGTGCGCCGGGGACTGACAGAGGAAGATCTAGGGCGGCGGGAAGGCAGATGCCAAAGGGGAAGAACTTGGGCGGAGAGGGCCGGGAGCCCCGGGGGAAAGAACTCGGGCGGCGAGCGAGCCGGGTCCTCAGGAGGAAGAACTCAGGCAGCGAGCAGGCAGCCTGAAGGGGCGAGGGGTCCTGGTGTCCTGCTGGAGTTTACGGTCACAAATGTTCACGCCGGTCAGCCCCCCACCCCTCCCCACCGCGCTGCGTGGGGGAGGATTTTAGGGGCTCCTAAGCCACGTGAGACTCGGGCCTTTTAAAAGGGGGGCCTGGGGGCGTGGTGGAATACTACAGTGGGTATAGGTCGCTGGCTTTGCACGAGGCCGACCTGTGGGATCCCCAGACCCAGAGGTCCCCCAGCCCACCAGGAGTGATCTCCCTGACCACAGAACCGGGAAGCAACCCTGAGCACGCAGGGCCGGGTGTGGCCCCAAATAGGAAAAAAAAAAATAATAGAGGTGGTTTCTCTTTGCTTCTGGCAAGAAAGTGGGTGTCTCAGCACTGCCCTTTGAGGGGCTTTCCTGCAGCGTTCTGCTGGCTGTGGAACTTGTGTTTGGTTTCTGGGTTTTTTTTTTTCTCTTTGGTTCACACCCAGCAATACTCCGGGGTTACTCCTGGCTCTGCTCCGGGACCATACAGGATGCCGGGGATCAAACCCAGGTCGTGGAAGGCAAAATGCCCTACATGCAGTACTGTCCCCCTCCGGCCCCTTGAATTTGGTTTGTTGTTTGTTTTTTGGGGGGCCACATTGGTGATGTTGAGGCCTTACTCCTGACACTGTGCTCAGAGATCCCTCCTGGAGGGGCTCAAGGGACCCTAGGCAGAGCCAGGGTTTGAACCTGGGTCAGCCTTGTTCAAGTCCGGCACCTTCCCCACTGTCTTTCACTCTGGCCCCTGACATTTTTTTTTTTAATGGGAGGGGGGTGCTACTCCCCGCTTGGCGTTGGGGCTCACACCTGGCAGTGTTGGAGAAAACGTCTTGTGGTAGGGACTTGAGCCCCTTTGAACCCTGGTCCTGACCCTCCGGTGACCATTTGTAGGAGGGGGAAGGATGTGGGCTGGAAATCCAGTAAGTAACTTGCTGCCGAGATTCAGGGCGTGGAGAGCTACTTTGATTCGGGGGTCTTTCCATAGGCCTGTTTCCTCCCAGAAAGTGAAGGTCCAGCCTCAGGCAGTGATGCACCATACCTCTCAGTTCCAGGCCCTTCAGAACCCCCAGGTTCCCCAGGGTCGGGTCCTAGAATCTGTGAAACACAGTTGAATGTGGTTTTTTCGGGGAGTTTTTTGGTTTTTTTTTTTTTTTTTTGGTTGGTTGGTTGGTTGGTTGGGGTTTTTTTGGGCCACACCCAGCAGTGCTCAGGCCTTACTCAGCGATCTCTCCTGGAGGTGCCCGGAGGACTCTATTAGGTGCTGGGTATTTATTGAACCCAGGTCAGCCATGTACAGGCAAGCACCTGCCCTGCTGTACTGTCTCTCCGGCCCCCTGAATGTGGGCTAAGGAATGCAACATGCAATACTGCATTAATATATCAAACAGAAATGTAGAAGGTAGGAATGTAGAAATGTCGGGGCTGGAGCCATAGCACAGCGGGGAGGGCATTTGCCTTGCACGCGGCCAACCTGGGTTCGATTCCCAGCATCCCATAGGGTCCCCTGAGCACCGCCAGGAGTAATTCCTGAGTGCAGAGCCAGGAGTAACCCCTGGGCATCGCCAGGTATGACCCAAAAAGCAAAAAAAAAAAAAATGTAGAAATGTAGAAAGGGAACGCTGGGGAGATAATACAGCAGGGAAGGCGCTGGCCTTGCAAGCAGCCACCCTGAGGTCAATCACCGGTATCCCATAGGGCCTCTGAGCCCTGCCGGGAGTGATCCCTGAATGCAGAGCCAGGAACTAACCCCCTGCAACCCTGCACACTGCTGGGTATGGCCTTCAAAAAAGAGTAGAAAATGGTCCCGAGCTATAGAGTGGGGAAGGCGCTTGCCTTGCATGCAGCTGGCTCGGGGTTTGATCCCTGCCACCACTGAGGGTTTCTGAACACTGGCAGAAGTGATCCCTGAGCCAGGAGATAGCCTGAGCACTACCAGTAGCACCCCCCACCCCCCCAAAAGTATGTTGTCCTTGCACCTATCCTCAGGTGTTAGTTAATGCTGCTTGGCAATTCTGTAGGCGTCTTGTGAATGTCGCTGTCACTGCACAGGAATCATGGAAAACTGAAAGTTTCCCCCCCCCCCTTGTCTTTTTGGGTCACACCCAGTGATGCTCAGGGCTTTCTCCTGGCTCTCAGGAATTACTCCTGGGTGCTCAGGGAACCATACGGGCTCTGAAGAATTGAACCCCAGCTTGACATGTCCAAGATTACCACCCTATCTGCAGTACTAACACCCCGGCCCCCAAAATCTGAAATTCCTAGCTCCATCTCCAGCCCTTTCTGTGGCCCTTATTTTTGCTGCACTTCCCTGCTCCGACTTCTGCCCTCGTTTGTGGTCCTCCAGGGACTGAATTGTCATCATAGGTGGATCCATGTTGCCAGGGAACCCCCGCAAGCCACATGTGCATGGGGTCTGTCCCCCCCAGAAGTGGGGCGAAGGAGCATTCATCACCTGGAGATGGTGATTGACATTTGGAGCCCCTCCTATGTCCTATGATCTGGGGGTTTGGAGATGAGACCTGGACCCAGACCCCTCCCCCCCTGCACCCTACCCGTCCACCAGACCCCACCCTAAGGCCTTGACATTCTGGTTCTGCCTTTTCCAGAACCTTCTGGCACCAAAAGCACCCAGAGTGTCCCCTCTCAGACCTCATTTGCCACCAAGGCCCCCCACTGAGAGACCTTCCCGTCAGAGGCACTCCCCAGGTCACAGCCTCGTCTGCCCCAGCTCTCTGGGTATCCGGCACCCTGATCTCGGACAAGCCCCTTTCTCAGCGCCCCCACTTTCCGCATGTCAGCTGGCCTGAAAGTTCTCCTGTCTTCCCTGAATGTGGAGGATTTCCGGGACTTCCCTGGGGCATCTCTGACAAGCCCTGCCGAGTGAGTCCTGGAATTTCCCAATGCTTGTGGCTTGGGGCCTCCTGCCAGGTTGGATTTGGGGAAGGACAGTTCCCTCTGTGGCACCAGAGACCCCAGTGAGACATGGGGAGTGCTTCCGGGAGTGTCCCAGCCCGAAGTCTTCCTCTCCCCCCGCCGTCCCTCCCCCAACACCACCCGTGACTTAGGAAACCCACAAAGGTCACCCAGGGTGACTTGGGGCATAGTGGTAGAGGGGATCAGGGTGCAGGGTCAACCGCGTGCACACACACACACCAAGATGGGACAGTGCGAGGAAGCCCACCTGGGACCCTGGCCCTATTTTCTCTGGCCCCTGGGTCATGGGAGGGGAGGGGTCAGTGCACAGCAGGCTCCCTGGAAAGCCCTATCTCAAACTGAGCCCCCAACTGGTAGCCTTTGGCGGGTTCTGTCCTGTCCCCTGACCTGACCCCAGGTTCCACAAACATGGATTTTGTGGCCCCAGATTTCTTGTCTCAGCCAAGGTCCCCAGCTGGATTGGGTTGGATGTGGGGACCCATTCCATGGTTTTCTTTTTTGGTGGGGCTCAGGGCACCTTATGCCATGCTGGGGTTGATCTCACGCCTCCTGCACCGTCACCCAGGACACCCTCTGCTCACCCCTCCCTGACTTTCTCCCTCTCTCTCTCCCCACTGCTGCTGCTTCTGCTCAGAGGCTGGGGCGAGGGGGTGTGTACTTCCTGTTTTTGCCAGCTTCTGGGGTCACCCGCAGCCCACAGCGTCACTGCCTCACCCCATCTTTGCCTCTGATCTTCGCGGCCATCTCCCAAGGGCCCAGTTCAAAGTCCCTCTTCTCCTCTCAGCATCCCAGGCCTCATCTCTGTCCCCCACTCCAGCGAGGGCCCCCGCTGAACTGCTCACAGCTGAAGAGGCCCATCTCCAGCCAGCACCCGAGGTAGGGGGTGTCAGAACCTGAACGGATCTTGGAGGCAGGGGTGGTGGCAGATGAGACATAAAAATCAGCCCTTGGGGGCTGGAGCAATAGCACAGCAGGTAGGGTGTTTGCCTTGCATTTGCACGAGGGCAACCCGGGTTCAATTCCCAGCATCCCATAGGGTCCCCTGAGCTCTGCCAGGAGTAACTCCTGAGTGCAGAGCCAGGAGTAACCCCGTGCATGGTCAGGTGTGACCCAAAAAGCAAATAAGAAATCAGCCCTTAAAGAGTCTAGGGGACCAGGGGATGTAGCTGCTGGCAGGCACTGAAAATTAGAGGTGACCTGTGGTCATGTACCCCATGATTTCATGAAGAGCCATTGAATTGTGTGAGTCTTAGAAGGGTGTCAGAGGGTGTTATTTACAGGTGTGAATTACCTCCGGGTGGATTTCACAGCAAGGATTATGGGGGAGGGCTGGCTTGGCTTGCAGGGTGGGTACTGCAGACCTTCCTTTCTTCCTCCAAGAGAGCAAAACCCTGAGCCCCAAATCCCAGCAGGCTGTCCTGCAGCCTCCTGGTGGGCTGAGAGCCCCCCTCGCATCCCCCAGTACTGCAGGGTGTGGCCCCGAAGCAAACCCCAAAAATCAACACAGAAAGAAGGGGTGTGCCTCCGTTTCCAGTTCAGGCCCAGGGTGCGTGACCTCAACCTGGGGGACCAGCCTCCTCCTCGGCCCCCCTCCTGGGACAGGATGTGGAGGCGCCGGAAGGAAGTGGCCAAGGGCGAAGGGCGAGCGCGGCTGCACCCCTGCTCGGGTGGGTCAGGCACCCGCGGAGAGGAACTGGGTTCTGCCGCTGTCTTCTGGGAAAAGAACAAACCGCCGCCTGTGGGCTGGGCCAGGGCGAAATGCGCTCTTACCTTTGACACACACTCTAGAAGTTTCTGAGCACCGCGCACTGTGGGTGCGCGGGACCTGGGGACATCGCGCTCCCCCCCCCCCAGCCCCAGCAGCCGCGGGGATCCGGAGCTGGGGAGGGGGGGCATGGAAGGGGCGGGGTTGGTGTCTGGGAACTCAGAAGCCTGTAGGAAATCCTCGCTCTCCCAGTCTCTTAACCAACTGCTTGCACCCTTCTCTAGGATGACAGGAAACAGCCCCTCGCCCGCCCCGCCCCGCCCTAGGCCACGCCCTCTGCTCCAGCTCCGCCCTCTGCTCAAGCTAAACATCCTGAGCCACGCCCACAAGCTCTGCTCTGTCCCTAAGCTCCGCCCTCGGCTCTAGCAAAGCACCTCAAGCCACGCCCTCTGTCTCACGCCACGCCCACTAGCCCTGGGCCACGCCCTTTGACACAAACCACGCCCACCATCAGCTCCGCCTCCTGTTCGGTGTGTGGACACCCAAGTCTCTTCATTTCTTTAATTGAATCACTGTGAGAGACACGCTTACAACGTTGCTCCTGATTGAGTTTCAGTCATGCAGAGTTCAACACCCATCCCTTTACCAGTGTACATTTCCCTCCAATTCCGCAGCTGCCTCTATGGCTAACACGTCTCTTTTTCTCTCTGCAGTAGGATTGGGTGGGAGGCTGCTTCTGAACCCTGCCCGTCTCCCGTGGCACTAGGGGGAGTTTAGCTCCCCAAACTCTCCTCTCTCACCCCTCGGAGACCCTGACATAAAAAGGCTACTGGGTGGAGGGTGACATAAAAAAAAAAAGGCTGCTGGGTGGAGGGTGACCGGAAGCTAGGTGGGGTGGGCTCAGGGTGGGTGCCGACCAGACCTCTGAGCATCAGAGAAGGACCCTGTGTGGGGCACGGGTGTGAGTGGAGGGGGACGTTGCTGAAAAGGGCCTCCATCCAGGGACCAGCCCTGGGACAGGTGGCAGTTGGTGTCCAGGGGGCCGGAATGAGAGCTCTCTGGCTGGGCCCTGGCCCTGGCTTTGGACATGCCGGTGAGGGACAGGCCAGAAGGAAGCACAAGGACTGAGCACTGGCTTGGCACACGGCATTTTTTTTTATTTCTGCTTGTTTGAAGGCCATACCCCACGGTGCTCAGGGGTTACTCTGGGCAGGCTCAGGGTGCCCCTGGCAAGTGCTGGGGATCGAACCCAGGTCGAGTGCGTGCAAGGCAAGTGGTCTGCTCGATCTCTCTGGCCCTGGCTTTGCCTGCAGGAGTCCAGGGCTGGATCCCCGTCACCACATATCCCCGCCGAGTACCCCCAGAGCGGCAGACGAGCCAGGAGTAGCACTGCCTGGTGCGGCCCCAGAAACCAAACAAAAAGCAGCACAAGTCTTGGTGGGGGTCAGGGAGTCTGAGAAACTAAAGAGCCACCAGCTGGGGAGACCTTTGTGGCAGCCCTGCCCCCACACGGGCACCGGGGCATGACCCAGGGTGCTTCTGGCTTTGCAAGGGGAGCTGTGGGTGTGGGTCAGACCCCCCCACACACACACAGGGCCTGGACTGGTCCCCAGAGAGGAACTGGCCTGCAGGGCCCAGGGCTAGACATGGGCTGGGCACTCTGTGGGGTGCAGGTGGGGGTGGCGGGGAGTATGTCTTGGCTGAGCACCCAGGCAGGGACCTGAGGGGGCAGGAAGTGAGGGCGAACCTCAGGGGACCCTCTCTGAGACTTGGGTGCTGGGTCAGAGGCCGTGTTTCGACTCTTTTCCCCTCCCCCTCCGCCTTCGGCGGCAGAAACTCCTCACCCACATGAAGCACTTCCCTTTTCCTTCTGTACTGGGCGGGGGTTGGGGGGAACCTCCACTTCTGAAACCAAAAAGGACAGGACCCTTGTTCGTGTGCCCACCACCCTCCTTCAAAACAAAAATCAGGGTTACAGAACCATCGTATAGCAGGGAGGGAGCTTGCCCTGCATTGCACGTGTCACCAACCCCGGTTCGATCCCCAGCAGCCCATAGGGTCCCCCAAACACTGAAGGGAGTGATCAGGAGTGATCCCTGAGCACTGAGCCAGGAGTAACCTCTGAGCACTGTCAGGTGTGCCTTCAAAAAAAAAAACCTAATTCAAGATCTGTAATCCTGTAATCCCCCCTCCACCGACTCCGGGCACACACCCACTTTTCCAGAAATTCCCTCTGTGGAGACATTGGGGGGCCCCTGGGCAGTGCTGACCATGGTCAGAAGCCACTCCCGCGGGGGAACAGGTCACTGCCAGACCCCTCCCCCAGGGCCGCCACATCGTATCTTTCTGGAAAGTTCCCAACCTCCCTCTCCCTGCCTTGCAGATCTCGCGTTCGGCAGCGGACTGTGGATCCCGGCCACTTTCCGGCACCGGCAGCGGCGCCCCTTGTTCCGTGCACAACCCCAGCGTCCTGCCTGTGCGGCTTCCCGCGGAGGCGGGGCCACTCGGCGCCCCAGCCGGGCCACCATGTCCAGCCCCTTCCTGAAGCAAGTGTTCAACAAGGACAAGACATTCCGGCCCAAGCGCAAGTTCGAGCCGGGCACGCAGCGCTTCGAACTGCACAAGAAGGCGCAGGCGTCGCTGAACGCGGGGCTGGACCTCAAGCTGGCCGTGCAGCTGCCCCCCGGCGAGGACCTCCACGACTGGGTGGCCGTGCACGTGGTGGACTTCTTCAACCGCGTCAACCTCATCTACGGCACCATCAGCGACGGCTGCACGGAGCAGTCGTGCCCCATCATGTCGGGGGGCCCCAAGTACGAGTACCGCTGGCAGGACGAGCAGCGCTTCCGCCGGCCCACGGCGCTGTCCGCGCCCCGCTACATGGACCTGCTCATGGACTGGATCGAGGCGCAGATCAACAACGAGGACATCTTCCCCACCAACGTCGGTGAGCGGGGCCCCGAGGGGAGGGGACACCGAGGGCCAGGGGAAGGGCATCTCATGGAGCCTTATTTATTTATTTATTCATTCATTCATTTTTGGCTTTTTGGGTCACACCCAGAGATGCTCAGGGCCGACTCCTGGCTCTGCATTCAGGATTCACTCCTGGCGGTGCTCAAGGGACCATATGGGATGCCGGGGATCGAACCTAGGTTGACTGCGTGCAAGGAGAGAGTCTTCCCACCGTGATATAGCTCTGGCCCACGGCAGGCGTCTTTTATCACGCTTGGACAAAGAAGTCAGGGGCTGGAGCGATGACAACGTGGGGAGGGCGCCTACCTTGCACGTGGCTGAACTGGGTTGGATCCCCGGCATCCTACAGGGTGCCCCAAGACCCACCAGGAGTGATCCCTGAGCGCAGAACCAGGAACCAGCCCTGAGCACTGCCGGTTGTAGCCCCTCCCCCCCAAAAAAAATAAAAATGAATGAAAAGAAGTATAAAGCTCTGAATTGGGGGCCAGGAGATGGCTCCAACGGTGGGGTGCAGCTTTGCATCCAGAGAGTTCAGTCCTCCGCCCCATCTGAGCCTCACAAGGAGTCATCCCTGAACTGGGAGTAGGTCCTGTGCCCACCGGGTGTAGCCCACCAGCAAACAAGCAGGGGCCAGCACAGTAGCACAGCGGGACAGCGGGGAGGGTGGTTGCCTTGCATGCGGCAGACTCAGGGTCGATCCCCGGCACCCCATAGGGTCCCCCAAGCACCTCCAGGAGTGATCCCTGACCGCAGAGCCAGAAATAACCCTTGAGCACTGCTGGGTGTGACCCGAACACAAAAAGAAATAAAACAGAGCCAGAAATGTGAGCGGCAGAGCCGCTGTATCTGGGAGCATCCACGGGGGATCCCAGCCAGGTCTGGGGTCTGTGCTGGGGGTTCTCAGTAGCGGGGGCCGAGGCCAGGAGGGAGAGTAGGGAGGGGGGACAGGCGCCTCCCCAAGGGCGGCCCCTTCCCAAGTTCTTGTTGAGCAGCTGGCATGTGGGACTCGTAGGATCTAGGGGGTGCTGAGATGGGCACCTGACCAGGTACCCCCAACTACTGAGGAGGCTGTGTGTGCTGTGTGACCTGGAGCAGATGTCTCTGCCTCTCTGGGCTATGATGGGGGGAGAGAGTAGGTCAGGGTGTCTGTGTGCTGTGTGGCCTGGGGCAGGCGTCCCTGCTCCTCTGGGGGCGAGTCCCTGGCCGAACCCTGAGCATGTGCTCCTCCAGGCACGCCGTTCCCCAAGAACTTCCTGGCGGTGGTGAAGAAGCTCCTGTCGCGGCTGTTCCGCGTGTTCGTGCACGTGTACATCCACCACTTCGACCGCATCGCGCAGATGGGCTCCGAGGCGCACGTCAACACCTGCTACAAGCACTTCTACTACTTCGTCCGCGAGTTCGGCCTCATCGACACCAAGGAGTTGGAGCCGCTGGTGAGCGGGCGGTGCTGGGGACCCCTGCCACGCCGGGGAGGCCCTCTGGGCTCCCCCCTGCCAAGCCCGAGCTGCAGCCCCGGGGGTCGCTTCCTGAGGCTCCTCTCAAGCTCTCCTGCGCCCTCCCGAGCCCCTCCTGCGCCCTCCCGAGCCCTCTCGAGCCCCCTCCCGAGCTCTCCAGAGCCCTGTCCTGAGCCCCCTCCCTAGTCCCCTCCCGAGCCCTCCCAAGCAGCATCCTGAGGCCCTCGGCCTCGCTGCCTTTGGTTTGGGCTCACATCTGTCACCTGGGGACACTCTGGCACACTGGTTCTGGTTCTGATGCACAGGGACCTGGATTTTTGTTTTCCGCTCCCATGGGGGACCATGGAATGTTCTAGAGCAAAGTAAAGGTAGGGTTGCCAGCACTGTGGGTGTCTGGCCTCTGGGCTGCTCACTGTCTCGCAGCCCTTTGCCCAGACCCTCAGACCTGTGGGGGGGAGATTCCCAGCTGCACCCACCTTGGAGGGCCACCCTCACACCCTACTGTTCCCCAGTTGTTGGGGAAACCACAGCCAGGTCTGAGCTGCTGTGCCAGCCCTTCCCCCACCCCCGGCAGAGTTGAACCCCCCAGGGGCCCACAAACCAGCGTCTTAGAGAACAGTCACCTGTTTGGTGATGCGACTGGGTCCTCCTTGCTGCTGGGGTCCCCCCTTTTCACAAGTGTGCAGTGTCTGATGTCCCATTTGCTCTCAACAGAAAGAAATGACAGCAAGAATGTGCCACTGAGAGCCGCGGCCCGAGGCAGCGCCTGGCACGAACGTCTGTGGATTGGGATTGCCGGGGCGGTCCTTGTACCCCTCCATGGCCCGAGTCCCCGCGTTCAGCAGCACTGTTGAACTTGAAGCCTGCAGCCTCAGCTGGGAAAGCCACTGTTTGCAAACCACTTCATCGCCAGGGGCTGCACCCTGCAGTCCTCCCCGAGCCCCCCCAAAGAGGTGCGGCACGGACTTGAATGTGTCTGACCCCTCGCCTCTCTTACCCGCCTCGGATCCTGGAGTCCAGGACATGGTGGAAGACGGATTTTCTGCTCCACCCCACGCCCCCTCCCCGCTCCACCCCAGCCCAGATTGCAGGACCAGCAGCTTTTTCCCATGGAGGAGGGAACCTCAGGAACCCGCCAGGGGGCACCGCGCTGGACCACTTGCCTCGCCTGCATGGGGTCCTCGGGCTCCACCCCACAACCTCGACGTCAGAGTGCCAGCGAGATAGATGGTCGAGGGGGTCAGGGCGGCCAGCCCCAGTTCTAGCCATGGTACCTACAGACCCCCCGGCACCGCCAAAGTTCCCCCAGCCCTGCAGGGTGTGACCCCTCCCCCCAGAGACTGGCCCCGCATCCTCCGACCCGCACAGTCAAGGGCCCAGGTCGCCTGGCGCTGCTGGGGGCGGGGGGGGTCCCGCTGCCTGCCCCTCAACATGAGCCCCGGCCCTGGTACTTGATCCTCCTTCCCTCGCCCCATCCCCTTCCCCGCACACACAGAGCCGCACCCCCAACTGCGGCTCGACCCTCCCCGCCTGAATTCTCAGCAGCCCACACAAGGTCTTGCTTGTGTGACACCTTTACGGGGGGCGGGGCCGGGGCCACCACACCGCGCAGCCATTGGTTCTCGGGCATGGCCACGCCCCCGGCTCGGCCACGCCCCTTCCCTAGCTTGACTGGCGGCCCTCGGCTCCGGGGGTCCCAGACCCCGAACACAGCTCAGCCCCTCAGTGTGCGGGAACGCACCGAGCACAGGGCCCCCCACCCCCCACCCCGCTCAGAACAAGTGCAATTAATGTGGCCTGGGTCCTTCCAGAAAGTGCGGGCCCCGCCTGGACCCCGCCTGGACCCCGCGTGCCGGACCCCCGGGGACTTCAGGGAACCGACTGGTCCCTTGTAGTTCCTTTCCAGTGCCCAGCCATGACCACTGTGTCCTCCGGCCGCCATGGGCCACCGTTCTTCCTCGAGTCCCACCAGCGACGGGGGAAACTGGGATAGGGAGATCCCCGCGACCCTGCGTGTTTCCCAGGGCGAACATTGGAATAAATTGCCGTTTCTCTGCCTACCTACCGGCTGGTCACTCAGTTCTCGCCCGGCCAGAGGGCCTGGCCTCGCGTCACACCCGCCGCTCCCCGGGGTGCCCTAGTGTAGCGGGGAGGGGGGGAAACCCCCTCTGCCCTCGCCCACTAACGCCCCCAGTAGAGACCAGGATGCCCAGACTTGGTGCAAACGCTGCAGACAGAATGGGGCCCCCAAAGCGGGGAAACGCACCGTTCCCTGCGTCCCCCCCGGGTTTAAGAAGGATTCCAGGGGCTGGAGCGAGAGCACAGCGGGGAGGGCGTTTGCCTTGCACGCGGCCGACCCGGGTGCAATTCCCAGCATCCCATAGGGTCCCCCGAGCACCGCCAGGAGTAAGTCCTGAGTGCAGAGCCAGGAGTAACCTCTGAGCATCGCCGGGTGTAGCCCAAAAGGAAAAAAAAGAGGATTCCACTGTTGCCACTCACCCACCCACACCCCCGTGAAACAGACCTCCAGAAAAGAGGGTGCAGACTCAGGTGAGGTCACGGGGGTAGGGACTGGGCAGCGTAGGAACCTGCAGCACGGTTGCTCACCGCTAGAGGGCATGCTGGCATTGCGGGAAAGGGGGTGTTAAATGTGAACCAGGAGCAACCGCACCCCCCCCCCCCGAAAAAAATAACCTTCGTTTGCCCTTTAATTTTGCGAGGGCATCCCAAGAATTGACAAGATTGGGTATTTACGGGAGTGTTATCTCAAGCCTTCGGGTTGACTGAAGGTTGTTCCTGCCTCCTCCCGACCCCCCTCCCACCTCCCAACGTATTAAAGGAACTAAGTGGTGGGATGGAGCGGGCAGGGTTCCAGAATAAGGGCCCCAGTGCTTGCCTGAACGTCCCCCTCCGAGGGTGCCCGAGGGTCCAAGTCAGGGAGACGCGGCCCTGGAGGCTGGGGGAAGGGCGTCCAGGAGCCAGAAGCAGTTGGAGATGAAACCTCCGAGGAGCGCCCTCCCCTTCAGTGTCGCGGGGCAGGAGCCTGGTGGGACTGAGCTGAGATGACAGAAGGTGCGGTGGCCACAAGATGTCACCGCAGAAACACAGGCCATTTCCATTTCGAAACGTTTGCATGGGGACAGACAGGTGGGTCTCTGGCCGGCTCTCCCTAGAACACAATCATTATAGAGACCGGTTTAGGGCCTGGGAGTCCCATACTGGACGGACACCCCAGAACTTATTCAACTAGCACAACTCTAGTGTTGGGGTCACGTGTTCCTGTCTTATAAGCCAGTTGCACAGATGGTAGGGGGAGGCAAGGACTAAGAGAAGGTGTTTGGTCTTATAGGCAGATTTTTTATTATCAAGTGACGTGACAAAGAAGGACCAAAGGGGGCTGGAGCAATAGCACAGCAGGTAGGGCATTTGCCTTGCACGCAGCCAACCTAGGTTCGATTCCCAGCATCCCATATGGTCCCCTGAGCACCGCCAGGAGAAATTCCTGAGTGCATGAACCAGGTGTAACTCCCTGTGCATCGCCGGGGTGTGACCCAAAAAGCAAAAAACAAAGGACCAAAGGATCCAGAATGGGACCAGAGCGGTAGTACAAGCAGGTAAATTGCCTTGCACATGGCTATCCCAGGTTCGATCCCCAGCATCCCAATCACCTCCAGGAGTAATTCCTGGATGCAGATCCAGGGTTGCATTGCTACCATCGCCAGATGTGCCCCCCCCAAAAAAAAAATAAAGACTGAAAGAAGGACCTAGAATGAACCGTAGAAAGCCTGAAAGGGATTATTCTGGACCAACTGAACAGCCCTTGTTATTCATATTTCCTATTCAGGGCAGGAATTGTCCCAGCGCTTGGCCAGTACAGAAACCTCCGGCCAAAGTATGACTGTTTAAATTCTACCCAACGATTAATTAGGGGGCCAGAAAGGGAGAGTACAGGGGGGTAGGGGTGTTTGCCTCACTTGCAGCTGACAGGGGTTCAATCCCCAGCACCCCATATGGTGCCCTGAGCACCATCAACAGCGTTCCCTGAGCACAGCTGGGTGTGGTTCCCAAAAAACAAACAAAAACGAAACTCAGAGCAAACTCATCGAGCTTGTCACATGCCACAGAAATAGGCAAGCAAGTGTCTGTCCCTAAGACAGGTTGTTTACCTTCTAATCATTAATCTCCGTGTCTGGAACGGATGTTCCATGGACATCCGTTCCTTGGGGGGTATCATGGTGGTGCCAGTGTTACAGGCTGTCCGTCAACTCCATAACCTGGATGGCACTGCCTCTCAGAGTCAGGACTTGCTACACTGTCCGTTCTGGGTGACTTTATTTGGAGGGGAACACACCACGCGATGCCTGGGGCTTACTCCTGACTTTGCACTCAGGGAATTACTCCTGGCGGTGCAGGCAATCAAACCTGGGTCAGTCATGTGCCAGGCAAACGCCCTCCCCGCTCTCCATCGCTCCCGCCCCTCTAGTGATACATAACTTCAGGAATAAGTTCTGAGTATGAGACCCCGAAAGGTGGTCTCAGTGTCAAGGTGGGCTCAGAGGTTGGGAGCCCTCTGAGCTGGGTTCTTGAGACTGCAAAACAGGATCCCACCTGGAGATCAATATCTCGGCGGCGATCCAGTGTTCAGATCTACAACTCCCTGGGACCCCCCTCGGAGGAGCCGGCTCCAAGGATGAAGTTCAGGCAGGATAGATATTTCAGGCGTTCCTAGATATTTCGGGTTCAACTTCCGCTCCCTCCCCTTGCCCGTAGGGTCCCCCAAGCCGGGAACAAGCACCTCCAGGATCCACCAGGAAGCAACGCTCTGAAAGTAGACTCTGATTGCCCTGGGTGTGGCCCCCCCCCCAAACAAAACAGGAATCTCACTCCCTCCCTCCTGGGAGAGGCCCGCAGACCGGATTGCAGCCAGCCCGGCTGACCGACAGGGTGCCGCCCTGGGGCGTGGCCAGGAGCTGCTGGGGGCGTGGCCATGCGCCTATGGGGCGTGGCTAGGTGCGGCCGGGGCGTGGCCATGTTCTTTGGGGGCGTGGTCAGGCGCGGCCGGGAGCCAGCTGCCCCTTGCCGCTGCCCCGCCCGCGACGTGACCGCACATCACGAGCCCGGAGTCTGGCAGCTGCTGGCCGGGGCCTCTTTGCCGACCTGCCATGCCACTGCGGGTCAGCGCCCCGGGGGCGGGGACAGGCTGGGGGGCACGTTCCTAGATATTTCGGGAGCTGGCTGCCCTTCTCTGTGCACCAGCGGCCCGCGGGGGTGGGGGGTGGGGGGTGGAGGGATGAAGCCCGCTGTCCTCGGGTGCCTGCCTGCCGGCGGACTCTGCTCGCGGGCAGCTCGACCCCCAGAAGACAGAAAGGGCTCGCTTGCAGAGCGGGAGGCCGTCTGGTCTGGGAGAGAGACGTCTGAAGAAGCTTCAACTTTAAAAATATTTTTTTTTTTTTTGAAGAGCGCGCACTGGGGCTACGCAGAGGAGCCCTGGGGGGCGCGGACAGTGCCGGGACCAAACTCAGGTCTCCCACCCGCAATGCATGCGCTCTCTGGGCTCACTCCTAGAGGGTTTCAGGGGACCCTACGCAGAGCTGGGGATCGAGACCCGCTAGCCTGCATGCAAGGCAGGCAAACGCCTCCCCCTTCTTCCAAGCTCCTGGGCTCGTCTACTTCCTCCCCGCACCAAGCTAGGTTGTTGCGAGAGGCTGGAGAGCCCATGGCAAAGTGCCCTGTGGGTCATGATGAATGATGGAGCCAGAACCCTGCAGATTCAGCCTTGGGGAACCTTTACTCTACCATGGAGGGGGGGGTCGAAGAGGAGTGGGGAGGGAAGAGCCATAGGACGATGTGGAGGGCCTTTGCCTTGCATACCGCTCACCCGGGTTTGATCCCCAGCACCTCATGGGGTCCCCTGAGCACGCCCAGTAATTCCTGAGTGCAGAGCCTGGAGTAATCCCTGAAACTTGCCGGGTGTGGCCCCCAAACAAAACAAATAAAAGAATGTGACTGTCCCCTGGTATCCACCAGTCCAGTTCCAAGGGAGCCACACCTGTCCACGACAACCCCAATAGAAGGAACCCACACACATACACACACACACACACACACACACACACACACACAGCAACAACCTGCAGCAGGAATAACCCCCGTCCCAGCAGAAACAACCCGTCCACAACTGGACATGTGGGTTTCCTGCCACATAACCCCCACACTCAGTTCATACCCTCACTCGACTTTCATCTTTGTCCTGCACTCCAGTCCTGTCCCTGGAGGAGACCTTCTCTAGCTCCTGGGGGGACCCTCTCTATCCTTCCCAGCTCCTAGACGTGCCTTCGCCTCTGTGACCCCCCTTTCCTCCATCCAGCTCTCCAGCCAGTCTCCAGGGCAGTCAGCCCAGCAACCTTCTGGAGTGTAGGGAGAACAGGAGAACTCAGTGGGTGGGTGCCCACGACCCCTCCCCCAGAACAAAGTCAAACCTCCGGCCTGGCCCTAAGATCCTGTTTCAGGAAGACACGCCCAGCCCTGTTTGTGCTCAAGATCCAGCCTAACCCAGGACAGACGAAAAGGTGCACATTTGCTGGTCTTTATTATTTTATTTTGTGTAATTCTGTCGGGTTTTATTTTGTTCGGGGGATCCCACCCGGCGATGGTGAGGGCTTACTCCTGACCCTGTGCTTAGGGATCACTCCTGGCATGCTCAGAGAACCTTATGCAGTGCTGGTGATCTAACCAGAGTCCACTGCATTGAAGGCAAGAATCTTTCCCTCTGTTCTGTATTTCTCTGCCCTGGATTTGTGGGTGGGCTTGGAACCACACCTGTGTTGTTTAAGGGTCCACATACAGTGCCAGGGATGGCCACAGGAAAGGCAAACACCTGACACACACGTACTATCTCTCTGGCCTATGCAGTCTGCCCACCGGGTGTGCTGATAAAACACGGGAAGATGGGGCCGGCGCTGTTGTGGGTGCTGTACCCCTCCCCACCCGGTCTAGGAAACCAGATCTCCACCCTATACACATTTCTGCTTTTGGTGGGTGAAGCAGACAGCATTTGGGA